TCCGACTCCTGCTCATTGACCAGGTCCGCCAACTTCTCCCTATCTTCGAGAAAAGGTGTAGAAGCAACCTCCTCCGTTCTGCGCATCCTTGACCTTGACCTCCCAGTGCGCCTCCTCCTTCTTCCAGATCTTTGATCCCGTTCATGAAGAACAGCAGTGGGTGGATCGGCTTCGCGGACACGACGCTCCCGCCGCCGTCTTTCTCGACCTTGCTCCTCTTCCTTGACCGACGGACCCTTCTCTCCGGGCCTCCTCTGATGGCGCTGAGATGACTCTTCTTGGTGATTGGGACCACCACCTGTGGCAAGATGAACAGGAGTACGTGCCGGTGCAACTTCAGGGGCCATGATATCCGGGGCCTTTGAAGGTCTAGGTCCACCTCGACGGTCCACCTCGACGATCTGCTTCAGCTGACCGTGCACCCCGCAAGACCTCAGGTCGTGGGGCAACTTCAGAGGCTGGATCCTCCTCCTCCTTCGGCCTTTGTGCATGCCCATGGCCTTCTTTGCCAACGTAGCTCGCCAGGGACTCTCTTCTCTTGCTGGAACGTGGCTCAACAGTCTCATCATCTAATACATCGTTGATATCTTTGCGTTTCTTCCTTGCCAACTCTGCCTCCTCATCTTCAACCTCAACATCTCCTCCCGTCTCCGCTGGTGGACCACGCGTGCTTCTGGAGGCCTTTTCCCTGACCGCCTGATCTATGAGCCTCTTGCCCCACCTCACTGCCACGGGCCGTGCAAACTTTTGCGAGCGACGCCAAGCTGCGATGTGGATGAGCTCGCGTAGATCGCCCGGGCTGAGTTTTACTTGACACCTTGAAAACAGGCTCCAAGGGAAGCTTTGTGGTTGACGAAACTTGCATACCTGGCATCGGACACGCCTTCGTGCTGGCCATAGAAGACCCCATTCTCACGACTCACCCATCTCTCAACCTTAACAATGCCAATGCCAAGGGGGGCTCCGCCGTCGCCTCTACATTCGTACTCGATGTAGGACAGGTCTGGTTGATCATTCAACCAGGCCGCAGCCACCTCAGGTGCTTGACGGCCGCCGTTCCCAATGGCAAAGGTCAAGGAGGATAGAAGATATCCGCTCAGCTTCAATCCCCTGATCCTCCCCATATTTGACCAGCACTTCGAAGGCTGAACTCATCTTGCCTCCTATGCCACTATCCCTTTGGATCTGTGGCAGCTGGAGAGGAGAACGTCCTCTCTGATCAACAACCCGCAGGGGTCTGTCGATCCAGCTGGGAGGCGGTCCACTTTGAAGGGACCTGAAGTATCCTCACAACTGAGGTACCTGATTTCCACCCCGGCCACAACCCCTGGGGGTCTGTGGCCACTGCCGGTGGAAATCCCCACTCCCTGGCCACTGTCTGCTAAGACCTGTGGGTCCAGGGGGGTATAACCTTATCTCTCTATCAGGGGACCTGGGGCTGTCCTCTTGGGAGTCTCAGACCCAGGCCCCCACGCTCCGGCCCTCACTGAGCCGACACTTCGCGGGTTCAAAACGTGCATAACCCTGCTAAAGCAGAAGACATATATACAGTAACCTAAAATATCACTATAGTGTCATATTATATATATAGTGGATCACACATAGATGGCATTTGACTCACGCTGGATAAGATGGCATAGCAGCCATTTTTTGACATTTTTTCAGATGGCATTTGAATGAACGGGAGGGCTAGTGTGCCATCTTAAAAGCAAAAAAAGACCTGACAAAACCTGAGTCAATGTCCTCAATCAAAGCGATCGATGCGAGCGTGCTGGAGGGGAGGCTTGAAGGGGAAGGGGAGAAGAGACTAGCGATGGCCTCATACCTAAAAGTGCTGGCCTCTGGCCTAATAGCGATGGCTGCCAGCCCAATAGTGATGGCCTCATACCTAGTAATGATGGCCTCCAAGTCTAGACCGTCTTCTCACATCAGCCAAAAAAGATCTTATTAGCAAGCTTCTCTGCATATGCCATCTATGTGCATATCTTTCTTGTCAGCTGGAATCGCGTGGAATGTCAGCAATTAAAACGATGAATTTGCAACTGTGCCATCTTAGTGTTTGTGTTCACGTTGGAGTCCTGAGGAGGGTTTTTTTCGTCTTAGATGGTCTTTTAATAGGTGCTGGACTTATGCCATCTATCTGTGATCCACTATATTCAAATATAACTCACAGTGGCAGCATTGAAGGACTCACACCTCACAAACACCACTGACTAAACACGGAACCCCTATTGCCTTCGCTTCAAATTCGTATCCAACCAAATGGACGAAAAAGCCTCGTCCAAGATCAAAAGCTTCGGTTTCTTCACGATCGCCCGGGCCACTGCCAAGCGCTGCTTCTCCCCGCCACTCAGATCACTGCCGCCCACGCCCACGTCCGTGTGCCAAAGGTTGGGGAAAGCTTCAGTGTTGAAGAAGGTCTCCTGACGGAGGATATCTTCTTCGAATTTCAGTGCCCTCTAGCGCAAAGATTCGGCGAAAATCCGCGAAATCTGTCAAAGTGTTCGTCCAACACTGGGTGGCCTTAGGCTTTGGTGGCGCATCAAGGACACTTGCACTTAGGATAGGAGTTTTGCTGTACCGGGCCTCGGGCCTGGATGCAAATCCTCGTGAGTCACACTGTTCTATGATTCTGTTGCTCAAGCCTGGCCAGGAGAACTGGACAAGTGAGTAACTTCACTGGAGAAAGAAGAGAGGAGCAAATAAGCGACTTCGACAAATATGCTCCTCGCACTGCGCCACGCGCAACGCCTCTTTGGCCGCCGCATCGCCGACCACCTCCGCCGCTTCGGCCACCCCGTACAGGAGATTCTCGCGCACGGTGCGGTTGCACAGAACCAAGTCCTGGTGACAAGTTCGAACACATCCAGTTCATCTGAAATTCAGTGGGTTGATGGTATGATTACACTGATTACACCACCGTATAATTGGCTTGCGACCATCACTTGTGAGAGTTCACTCTTGGTGAACCAGCTTTGATTTAACCACAAAATCATTCGAGCTACTAAGGCGAAAGATGGCGAAAGCAGGGTCCTGGCTCACAAAGCCGATATGGTAGCGCAACCACAAAGGGTTGTAGTCCTCAACAGGGTTTCAACAGGGTTGGGCTTGAAAACTGCGTCAACAAACACCGATGACCGCACGGATGACCAAGAAAAGAACCCTCCAAACCAGCTGGTGAACAGTTTGACGCACCGGCTGAAGATCAATGCTGATACATGCCACATGCAAATATGTCACATGTATCTGCACAGCACATCCCTGAAGGCAAAAACAAGTAAATATATAAATATCTTCCAGGTTCTCCAAACCCTGCTGCAAAGAAATGCCAAGTCCTTTATCTCTCGCCCATCCAGTAAGATTCGTCCACTGGTCGGCTCGTAGAGCCGCAACATCAACGAGAGCACCGTGGATTTCCCCGAGCCTGTCGTTCCCAAAATGCCTCGGTTCGTGTGAGATCAGGTGTCTGCTACAAACAATCAATACCAGGACCCTCCTGGCCAAGCTGTTTGGAGACCCTAAAAGGTGGTTTCTGGGCACCTGTTGTGCCAAAACCTAACCCCTAGCTCCTAGCACACTACACGCCAAAGCGTGGTTATGTGATTGACCATCCACGCCCATGACGGTAGGTGAGGCTTCTTAGTGTTCAAAAGCCCAATGTGCTCATTTGGGGGCACCGTCCTGACAATGGGACTGCTTGGCCTGCTTGGGAGACCAGCCCCAAAACCACTGACTTCCTCCGACCAAGGGGCCCAAGAACTCACCCTCGCGCACTTGGAAGGACAGCCCCTTCAAGACTTCCACACCACGTTGCTGATACGAAAATGTCACCTGCCGGCAGGTTCCACCTAGCCAATCCAAACTGTTAGCCGGGCCGGTATCAAGGTAAAAGGGAAAGGGAGTCGTGAAGTGGTCCCCAACTTGACAAGCAGTGCGCTGGCTCTGGGAAGAGCATGGGGCAACGGCGTTGTAAACGACTAGGGTTGTTGGACATGGGAAAACCACGAAAAATGCGATAAGTTTATGTGTTGGAACTGTTGCATTGGGTTCATGTTCGCACGGTGTTTACCACTGCAGGGTGCTCAATTGACATCAAACACGACGTCCGAACGCAAGAGTTCGTCCCTTGCGTCCTGTCCGCCGAGCGAACCAACAAGGTGAGCTCTTGCGGCATTTCTGGCCGTCCAGACGTTTCACACATACTTCATCACTTGAGGCGTGAACCTCAAAGCACACTTGGCATATATGCTATTGGGGAGGTAGGATTTGACCTGTGTTTTTTCATGGGGCTCGATCGTGATTCAGAGTGATTCACAATTCTTAGATCGAGGTGGTCTTTTCTTGGAAACTAGCATACAAAACCCGGCATGATCTGCGATCAACCCTCTACGACGCAAGGAGGCCAACTGGCCCCCGAAAAAGCACTCAATGAGACTCGCCCAGCGCGGCACACCATACCAGTTAGCGCCCAGCTCCCCCCACCCGGGCGCATGGTCCACCCAACTCCGAAAAAAGTAGACCATCGATGTGGAGTTGAGCCTCTTGAAAATCCAAGGTCCATCGGACATCTTCTGGTTTTGGCATCGAAGACCATGGCGAATGGTCCAAGCCTGAAAGAAAACCAAGTACAGTAACAGCCAATGATTTCACAGTTGACCCATGGCTGGGTCGTGGAGTGATTGGTTGGTTGTTTGGTTGGTTGGTTTCGGGGTGATCGTCTTCATATGAACTGTCTTGCATCTCTTGATCCATGATGACAAACAGTGCCTACGGCCTGTGACTTCGCCAGTGCGGTTTGAGACTGTGGATTCACCTCCCAGGAGACTTCCCAGGAGCTACTCCGTGGAGCGTTTGCACGTTCCAAGACGTTCTGAGCCAGCTCCCGGAAGATACTCCGCGGCGTGACTTCGCACGCCGCATAGGCTCCCAGAAGCTACTCGCATTGGTACACATTTTGGTACTGAGATCTACAAAGTGGCCGGTTCTGAGCCTGGAGCACCATTTCTGAGCCACTCCGCGCACGACAGTCGCACTGCCAAGTGGCCGGTCCACTAGCAGTCAAGCTTCATGTTTTCAAGCCAAGCATTTCGAAGAGTTCCGAAAGAGAGGCGTGCGTTCGCCTTCAAGCAGCTTCATGCGAGAGAGTCAAGGCTATTAAACCGTGCCGCGTCCAGTTCAGACAAACGTTTCGTACGAGACATCCTCCAAAAGTCTGGCACAAGTCCAACTGAGATCAACTGAAGCGGGAAGCCTCATCAATTCCAGCGCATCAAGCAGCCCCGCCAAGAAGTTTCGCACTCCTAGCTCCTCGAAAAACGCCAATCCCAAAGGCACAGCAACATGCGACAGTACCCTGCATCAAACGTCATGATTCCCCGCACCAGCCATGCAAACTGCATCCAGCCCAAACACATCTAGTACAAGTACTGTGCCTGCCAGGAAGAGTGACGATCCCAATGGCACAGCGACGCAAAGGCTGCAACAGTCACGTTTCTTTTGTTTCATCACGTTTTCACCCTAGATGGAGTCCACGCGACGACGGCAAATATATGCGACTATCCAGAGTCACGCGAGGAAAGCACAAGAGGCAAAGACAGGTCCCTGCCAGAAAGCTAGACTACAAACGCGAGCCCTTCACTACGCATTCGGGATCAGAAGGCGTAAGCACGCCAGGAATTGCTATTGGAAAAGGGATCACTGCGACTAGTTTTCTATGTTTTGACCTGCGCACAGGCTGCACACAGCAGGTGACATTCTGTGATGAGGTGGCGATTGGGTTTGCCTCGGAATCAGATTAAATCAGGGTCTCAACCACTTGGCGTCAGAAATGACGCAAACAATGCCCCTTTCTGCTGTCAGGATTTATTAGGGCGGGTTCCCCCGTGAAAGGCCCGGAGTTCATACTACGCGAGACACTGGGTGATGTGGTGATGCCCTGTATGCAGCAAGGGCCTACGCAATCTCACTTATCAAAAGACCCCAAACCTGTCGGGTCAATGGCCCCTTTCAATTTAAAGCAGCCCACAGGGTTCAATCAGTGTGAGCAAACCAGCTCTCCAAGTGCCGATGATATTCTTCGAACGAAACGGCCCATGTTTAAAGGCAACTGACTCCACGAGGCCTTGCAAGAAAGGCTCGACTGAGTCGTGATGTTTTTTGGAGATGTTTCAATATACGAGGACCCTCCTGGCCAAGCTGTTTGGAGACCCTCACAGGTGGTTTCTGGGCACCTGTGGTCACCCACGTCAGCACCTGGTCTGTTTCGGCACCGGACCAGTCCAGATCCCAGCGTCCGATGCGCGGGCGCCGTGCCAAGAGCTGCGCCATCTGCGCCAGGGGTCCCAAGGCCTGAGAAGGGCGAGGGCGCCTCTGGTGCTGGGCGCCACACGTCACGAAGAAGAGGCGGAGGATATGGGGAAAGCGCGGTAGGAAGAAGGAGGAAGACAGTTTTAGGATCATTTTGGGATTGTTCTTGGTGCTTCACTGGATGGTTTTGGAGATGAGCTGTGGTGAATTGGGGAGTCTTTGAAGAGCCTAGCATTGCTAGAAACTTGCGGCTTGCTTTCAGTAGGGTGAGGAGAAATCCATGACCAATGATCAATCTACCAGAAGGATTTCCATCAGCACTTGGGACCCTGGATTTGTCCTCGAAACAGCACCGGCAACGCAACAACGGGCGAGCTCAACGTGGCACGTGGCACGTGGGAAGGCAGCGACGAAGCCATCGAGAAAACGATCTTTGCCCGGCCTGGCGAGAGACATTGGCAGCAGCAGCCTGTGCAAACCTGGCGGAGGACTGCGGTGACCGGTGGGCATCCGTTGGTTTGGAGTGAAGAACGGCGGCTCACCCAAGAACCAGTCGTGGAAGCACCCAATCGAACACATCACATGGAAGTGGATGGCATGGTTCCTGGGATGACGAGTTTCCTTTATGAACAGGGTGGCTCCCAGTTCCATGTTAGTGACTTGCGAACGGAGGGCTTCTACTCTATCCTCTACTGGTGATTCACTGCAGGCACCTCTCAATGTTTAGAGGTCAGGTCGAGGTCACCAATCCCTGTAAACACTGTAGCGGTTTGTAGCTTGATGGCCCCTCAATAGAAGATGCCCATCAGTATTTACAATCGTCTTTGAAGCCCAAGTGTCCAAAAATAGAATCTTCCCTGTGAAGCCAAGAGCTGCCCGTAGTTAGAGTAAGTAGCAATCCATTCCCTCCTGTCCCACTACCAAAAACAGTGTTAGTTCACTCTCTCACACAGGATGATCCGGATTCAGAAGTCAGTCCTAAGAACTGATCTTACTTTTTTGCATTCTTCACCACCATCTGCGCAAATGTCTCACTTTGAGAAGCTCAACAACTCAACAACCACTCTAGAACATGTCCCATACATATCATCACGTCCCGCACGTTCACTGACCTCATCGCTTCGCCCAGGTCGGGTCCACCGCCGCGGTGGTGGAAACCGGTCGGATCGCCTGGCGCCATCAAAGGCGCCCGTGGCCACCAGCACTGCAGAGGAGAGCTCGCCAAAGTCCATGTCTCCTCGTAGCGCCAGGCGCCCGCCGTACCTGAAGTCAATGGATGAGACGGGTCTTTCACTCATGAGCCTGCAAACTTCTGGCAGATTGGGAGACATGTAAGCAGAAGAGGTCACTAATGGTCGCTAGGTGTTCAAAAAAGTCGAAATGTTTGCGTCGTAGTGGGAAGCTGCGGGCCAAATATGAATATATTTAGCATCAACTTGCGCTCTGTGCTGCATCTCCATGCCCAATGTCTTGAGGCTCCAGCCAGAGAGTGCCAATCTCAAGGGCGTGTTCGAGAAGAGCTTGCAGCCTGGGCTTCGAGAAGAGCTGGTGATCCGGGCTGAAGCTACGTTTATTGCAGCAAATTTTCTACATAACAGCACATGCATTCTTCGATTCTTCGACCTGAAAATCTTTGAAATCCTCCGATGCGGCGGTCATTGGCCGAGGAGGTTGGAGGCTCGGACCAGGCGGCAAAAAGAATGGCCGAGCAGCGGCTGCATCAGTCTGAAAATCAAGATCTTCCGTTGCTGGAGCTCCTCATGCACCTGAAACAGGACTCGGTTTCAGGGATGGATGTTGTGAAGCTTGTGCCTGGATTGAAGCTCTTTGTGGCTTCCTTGATGATAGAACTGGTTTCTTTTGGGTTTGAATCGGATCGCACGTTTATATATGTGAGGAGACATATAACTTAAATTAACTTAATATATATATATATATGTATAATACGACATATACATACAGTAACTCAAAGGGTGTCCCCGACAAAACCCCCAATATGAATTTGGATAAGACCACCATCAACCCTGAAAGCTCCTTGTTTGGGATTCTTTTCCATCTTCAGCTCTTCCAAACTCCAGGCCACCAGGGTTCGGAGGGCCACGACCCCATCACAATACCCACTTGGCCACTTCCTTCGCTGGCGGCTCCACCTCTCCACCTTCTCTCCACCATCTCCACCGTCTCAAGTTACCGAACGTTTACACTCTGACTCACGTTCCATGGAAGTAGATGGCATGGCTTTCCTTTGCGAACGGGCTGAACTCCACTTCGCGAGTGAGTCACCGAACGTCCGTCTCGCCCTTCTTCCCGAACGGCCGTCCGTCTCGCCAACGGCCTGCAGGAAGCGTGTAAAGGTTTTGAGCTCATGAGGCTCCCGCGCAAAGGCGCGCATGGTCCGCAGGGAGGCAGGCTGCACTAAGCAGCTCCAACCTCGCTGGGCGATCGGATGGCATCCCCCAGCAACCGGTGTTGGGACGACACCTGTGACCAAGCATTGCAAAGGATCAGAGACTAATACTGATGTTGGTCTCCTTGCAGTTTGACTTTACGTATGTTTTTACCCCAGCGGGTTGCCTGCTCTGAGCAACAGCTATTAATCTGCCCCTTGAAGTCTGGCAGTGCAGATTGCTCCAAGCGCTCCTCGCAATGCTGGAGCGCTTGCGACAGAAGGAACCTCGCCGGCAACCTGGGCCAAGAACCGAATCAAAGCCACAGGACTCTTGCGGATCACTGTGATCGCGGGATTTTCTGATGTTTCAGACAAAAATGATGTGGATCGGTATGATGATGATATTATGTCCGCCTCACATCGGAGGTTTGGTTCCACCTTCTGCTTTCTGGTGCACTCCGACTCACGTTCCGAAGTGGAGTTCACCCCCCTGTTTGTAAAGGAAAATGGTCTTCAAAAGGCCCATGGGTTCCCCACTTCCGAACGTGAGGTGTTCGTCGGAGTGGTTGTACCCAGGGCGCGCACGGAGCCGTCCACCGAAGACTCACCGCTGCGACAGCGACAGCGTTCAACCCCCACCAGGTCGACGCCGATTTTTTCGACGAAGCTCTCTCTACCTTTCACGTGCCGGCTCCAGGTGAGCAATGAAATCCATGAAAGGAATCCCCAATCATGTGAAATCCCCACCGCCTTCCGAGCTTTTTCCAGGCAGCATTACCCCGAGGAAGGCCGCCAGGCGGCCGTTCTGCCTCCCCAGCGCCAGCACAGCAGTGAACAACCGCACGGCCGCCTCCAGCAACGTGGCGGGGAAGTCCACGACCTGCAGCTAGAACCAGCAGGTTGGATTGGCCATCTCGTTGCTAAAGATGAATATCTTGTGGCATGGTCAAGCAGCGCTTCAACTGCATGTAATTTCATACGATTCAGGGAGGAGTCAAGGTATCAGTGAAGACTGTAAGGGGTCTCCCTTCATCAGCACCGCCATCCTGCCATCAGGACTCTCAAGCATAAGCTGGATGGCTAGCCACATGACCTGGCCTCCACGGTGACCCACTGTTGACCCAGCTCCTACCGCTCCTACCAACGAGCTCACTCGCATCGACACCCAATCTGCCTGGGAAATCGTCGTGCCGCAGCTGCCGATGAGGGAGCGGAGCTGCCAAAGGTCACCTGGGCAGCGATGGCGTTCGAGGGCAGTCCATCCCCACTCGAACTGGTGGAGAACACCCCAATTCGGTCGAAACCAAATTCTGTGACTCACCCGTCACTATACTCACCAAGCCTGCAAGCCTGCCTCTAACAGTCTGTATATGATGTTATTACATGTTATTACCAGATCCTACCTCATGAAGCTCGTGTTGCGATGTAGATGCTAGCAGGATCCAGGAATCCCTCCAAAACACCTGTACCTTGATCATCCATGATATATAATCCTTTATGAATAATCTAATCCTTTATGATTTATGTCCTTCTAGTGACGTATTGGTTGTCAGTTCACCTTTTTGAACCTATATATTATTCCAAAGATTTATATAGAGGGCACCTTGCACAGAGTGACAGCCACCATCTGCTATGCCTCACATCTCAGTACAGAACTCTCATCTGACCACATCCATCCTATATCTCTGTCTCAACCTTCTCTCAGAGAAGAGCCTTAGCCCCCTGGGCACTGAGTCCAGTCCGGTGACACTGCTCCAAATACTCCAAGTCTTGTCGCAGCAGTGCTCCAAAGAGTGCCACCTTCAACTCCTGTGCAATCGGGCAGGACGCTCGGACAGGCTCACGAAGGAGCGAGCCTGGCACTCAAGGCCCCCTGCAAGCAGGTTTCATGGAACAGGATAGAACGCCAGCGCACGTCGAGCAAACCATGGTTGGTGCGAGCCTGCCCCGTAACGCCACACCCGAACGATGCCCTCCTGCACGACCTTGGTCTTCCCCCGCAAGGTCAAACGTCCACGTGCAAATTCCGCCAGCTGAAGAATCATCTCACTGACCACCATCGCTCCAATGGCTTCCTACAGGCCGCCACTGCGAAACAAAAGAGCACTGACTGAAGTCTCAGGAATTTTGGCCTGGAACTCACCAAATCCAGTGCAGGCCCAAGGCTGATGACGAAACAAACGCCGAGAATCTATTTTCATTATTTGTCCTGATTCTTGAGGCAGCCTCGATATCTATGCCTTTGGGTCACCACCTCACGCAAAGTCCCATCATGATCAGGAGGTGTGCAATCCTAGCAAGTGCTCACTAAACTCTCCGTTTTTGGGGGGTTGGTTCCTTGGCTCTTCAAAACTTGAGAGAGGAAGGGGTGAACGAAAGGTAGCAGGCAATCACAAGCAACCCTGGTAAAAGTCCATGACGGCGTGAACCGGCGCAGGGTGGATTTGATCCAGGGGGGCCCCCCCCCCCCCGACGAACAGAATCAACTCTTACAGGACCAAACTCAATGCACAATCCCAACTCCTGATTGTAATACATTTTTGCTAAAGCAAGGAGAACTCAGGTAGCTCAAGCTACAGGAGGTCATATGGATACCCCCAGCCCCCAGCTCCGTAATTCAACCAACCACGCCCGTTCTGACCTGCCATGCATGGCCCGCTCCTGCATGCCGTGCTTGGCCCGCGCTGGGCCCGAAGAACTCGTGACGGCCTCTTTCGCCAAGTTGATGACCGAGGCTTGGTAATGGTAGCGCATCGCCGAAAAGGCACCTCTTTCGCATCAAGAATCAAGATGATGATCTGAGGCTGACCATGGAGGCTAAAATAGGGCTAAGTCTACGCGGACAGACCAGAAATTCTCGGAAACGTCCACGCCATTTTTGGGACGGGGTGAGTGTGTTGGGACAGCAAAGGTCGGCTGGACATTCATCAGTCGGCTGGACATTCACAACATCCCATTACCAAGTCGGCTTCAGAGCTCCAAAGTCTGCTGCAGGGCTCCAAAGTCGGCTTCAGAGCTCCAATGATTGATCATGATCAAACTTTTTTGGGTTTCTTTTTTCAGCTCACAGCGGTTTCTGCAGTTACTTCCAAGTGCCCCACCTAGCACCATGGAGAGCACAGAAGAAAGCGCCACGAAGGGCAGCGTGGTCTTAAAGCGCCACAGGAGCCGGGCAACACACCTGGGTGAACGGCCCGGGAGCCGGAGGCACGAACGAGGTACAGTACTACGAGGTACCACTCATCTCAAACGCCACTTCGAGATGTGTAGAAATGCAAGTCAGATATAATATGATACAATACAATACCCATATAATTACCAACTTATTACATGTGAGCGCTCAATGTGTGCATGAGCCAATGCAATCCTTTGAATGTGAGAAAGAGCTACCCGCAATGCCACTCCCTCCCCGAATGCGATCCCATGGCTCCACCAGGCCCTATACGGGCTCGTGGAAGACGAATTCCGACGTTCTTGCTGAAGATTCCGACGGATTACCATGGAAAGACCTCACGGATGGATCCTCGGCCTCCCAACCCCTGCACTACTCTTCCCTTCCTCCTCTTCCACCGTTGCCTCCACTGCTCCAAGCGCCTTTGCCGGAGGATCCGCTCCGCCGAAGCCAAGGGCTCTGCATAGAGCCGCCATACGTCACGCGCCCGCCCGCGCGAGAGGCGCGATTGGACAAGCATGGTGAACTCCTTGGGAGGAAACTCAGAACGACACAAGTCTTTACGGCAAGGAAACTCTGAACAGAGTCCTCAACAGAGAGTGGATACTCGCTTCGTTACGTAGCCTACGCACCGCAGTGTAAACAAAGGTCACCTCGCGCGAGAAATGCATCTTCTTCTTGTGTGGAGGTCCCGTGTGTTCACGTGGGTACTTTCTGCTTCCGAGCTCTTTGGGGCGGTCAGGACTGCATCAACGGTCAACGTCATATCAACGTCATGAGTCGTAACACGTTTTGATTGTTTTTGCCCACATTGCCAGCTCCAACCACCAGCAAAACTCTTAAATCAAACAGCGCCAAACCATACCTACCCACTGTTACCAACCCAACTTTCCGTACTCCCCAGCCTAAAATCCCTGTCCTCTGCTTCCGCGACCCGCTGTTGCAGCGCCTCCTCGGGCGCGCTCTTCAACTCCAGTGCCGCGAGCGCCGCGGCGCAGGCGAGGCCTTCGGCGGCCAAGGCCGCGCCCGGCTGGGCCTTGGCCAAGTCCTCCGCAGCCTCGGAGACCTGGTGAGCGCCGGGTCTCCGCGCGGGTCGCATGTGGAGGTGGCAGAGTACCTGCAGGTGGGCCTGAGGTTGCCAAGGATCTTGGGCCGGTGCCACGTGCCACACATGGAGAACAAGTCCCAAGCAGCCTTTCCAATTCACAAAAAAAAGAAAACCGATGACCGTCCAAGATCTTGACCGAAGGGCCGAATTGGCTGTGATCTGGAACTTTGCCGCCACAACCACTGCCTCTTTTGCTGCCTCCTCCGCCTCTCGGTCGTTGACAGGCAGCCCCCCCGAGGTCAGGAAAGGCCTCAAACATCGACTGTGAATGCCCGAGAATCGACCGTCGGAAAGCGCCCCAAAGTGACACACCGAAAGCGTAATGGAACTCTCATTTCGTGTGAGCAGCTCGGGCTCCCTGCATCCAGTTTCAATATCCAAACTATCCAAACTTCCCTTTCTGCCCGTGTTCTGAACGCAGTGTGTTGACTTATTTCAAGCAAAGTACAGGTCTCAGTGGCCCTGCGAATGGCTTGGGAATCGGTCCACGAGTCCACGACCGAACCGTAGACCCAATTTGAGCCTCAGGGGTGGCACTTGCTGGGCAAGGCGTGAGACTGGGATCTGCTGCAAGAGGTCTTCTAACTTGCTGCGCCGCTTCTCCTGCTCCTGTCGATCCAAAACCGAGGTTTTTGCTGCTCGGGTCGTGGAGGACCCCCCTCAAATTCCAAAATCCCCATAGTGGAAGCTCCAAGGAAGTTGATTGGCAAAACGCCATGCATTACAATCCTTTATCGATCACTCATGAGACCCAAAAAAAAATTGTTATGTTTGTTATGTTTCTTCACATATGTTCCTGCACAGGGGCTTTGACTATGGATGACGATGGCCAAATTGCGCCACTTATCGCAGACTCATGGCTGAAGATCAACACCAAGCTGAGCAAGGCATAGTTTGGCCACTATACACATCATGTAGATCGCCCCACTCCACGGGCTTTTGCGTTCAAGCATGTTCAAGCCATGTCATGTTTGAAACCGACTACGGGTGACCGTCATCACGGTGGTTCGGTGCTCATTCATTCGGTCCTGTTAGGACCTAACATGCGGTCAGTCCTTTCGCACCCACGCCAGCATCTCTTCATCTTCCAAGAAGTTCTTCCCCGGTGACCGGGCCACCCACCTGGGATCGACTCTTCAGCCAACAAGCTGGACAAGTTGACACCGCGCGAGGACGAGGAAGAACTGCAAAGCCAATGATGTTTCTGGGCAATGACCGCCAGCCCTCCCAAGCACCATGACCACATCCAAGTGGCAGCAACAGCAGGAGCGCTGCGAGGAGGGACACCGCGAAACCCTTCCTTGGTGCGACCCACCTGGTACGAATCGACCTTCCTTCGAGGTCTAGATTCGTGGATGCTCCACTCCATCATCGTTTCTAGGGATTCCAGTGGTTCCCTGGAAAATTAGGAAAAAGACGCTACTAGGAGTAAAGGGCATCGCTACTAGGAGCAAGGACGCTACTAGGGGCTCCTGGC